AAAAGGGAGAAGGGATTAGGGAGAATAAATAGTTAGAGAATAGAGAGAAAGTTCTAAAAAGATGCCAAAAATTTTAAAAAATTGGAGATTTTTATGTGTTTTTACCGTTGTAGCTTTATGAAGTGGCAAAAATTTACTTCCTCACGCGCCTGCTAGAGTTTGTTGTCAATTTCTACGCCAGACGGACAATAAAGGTGTACGCGATGGAGGAATAAACAAGTTCAGAATAATTAAAATGGAATATAGTTTAGATATACACTGAATATAAAGCTTCAAATTCAGGGGTAATGAACACTTTTACCTTTTTAAAATAAACACTTTTGACCTTGAAAACTTTCCCAAACAGATTATAAAGAAAATTGTAAGTACTTGAAATACTGTACTAGTTGGTAAAAGTCATTAATATTTATCCGTTAAACCAAAGTTGAAATAATAAATTGAGGACATTTTTGCCTCTCGTTTACATTTTTCTTGTGTGGGATACTCAGGTTAGATTTCAATTTCTTTTAGTTTTCTATTATAGGGTTCTGTTATCTGTTCAACTTTTATGGTTTTTTTGCATTGAACTTAGGGTTTCTTCTATGATTTGATGTTGAAGTTTTTCTATTTTGTTTAGTTTGTAATTTTTTTTTGGAATTGGTGTGTATTTACTTTTGCATGGTCCCTAAATTATGTTTTTACCTGCAAAATTGCTGATGTAGAGGAATCATTGGGTGGCTAATGAAAAGCAGATGAAATAGGAAATGGGTTCGTTTTCTTTTGATTGTTTTGTTTCTCAATAGTGTAAAGACAAGTAAAAGATCAAAGATATGTGCTCTTCTTCATTTTTCTCTTTTTCTTTTTGCGTTACAGTTTGAAGTGCAACCTGTTTTGGCTTGGGAAACTGATAAGAGAGGGTAATCCAATAGGGGTGCGGATTATTCGGATTAATACGTCTTGTACAGTGTGTTGGAAAATATATAATAGATGGGGAAAATATTATATCAAAATAATAATATGATAATTAAGATAAAAACTTACTACAATAATATTCTTAAGTAATATAAATATAAATAATACTTGAGAAAGCCTTCTCTAAATTAATTAGAGGATACAAGAACCAACAAAATATAAATACTACAAAACCAGCAAGACAATTGAAAGAAAGTGTTTTCTATTTTTCTTTGGTAATATGTTCTCACTTAGTTGGCTCTTAGTGAAGTCACAATTGATCTTTATATAGAGATGATAAGGATGTTAATAAGTGACTTAATTTGTCTCCAAGTAAAGATAATACTTGGTCACCAAGTAAAGGCAATACTTTGGCACCAAGTAAGGCAATACTTGGTCACCGAGTTGGATGACAAAGTAGTAGAAATGTCACATGTTAAATGTTTTACTTTGGCTCAAAGTAACTAAATCTTTTGAAAATTATAATATTGCTAACACAGTGTACGGTATTATTTGTTTCATCTCCAAATTATTGACAACGTTAAAAACATCTAAGTGAACTTAAATATACCTCTGATCTTGCATCATAAGTGAAATACACCCCTATATTCTCGTCAAATTTAGGGGTGTTTTCAACACTTTTCTCGGCTTTTTATTAAGAGTCTCATGCTCCTGCAAGAGTTTGAGACCACTTGTTATGTCTTGTGGTAGGTCGGGGTTGTATCTAAGTCTAGTTAGTCAAGTAGATGAGTGTTTTTAAGTCTATCAATAGTTCGAGGATGAAACTTATAATTTGTGCCAAGTTCAGGGATGTTTTCAATACTTCTATCTTTTAACTTCAAGATGAATTAGTTTTTGGTTTTACAGTTTGTTTGACCACTATTTGATCGTCAATATGATTTAAAGATATACATGATTTGTTCTGTTGCCATGTTCTGCCTATGTTAATATAGAGGCTTTTGGTGGCTAAGTGTACTTAACTGCTTAAGTTGTACTATTACAATGAAAATCATTACATTAAACCAAGCGTGTTGGGCGGATCTAGTATTTATATAAGCTGCTAAGGAGTACGAACACTGCATTTGCAATTAGTATGCGCAATGTAATCTGAGTTGTACAACAAAATTTGGCCCATAGATTTGATACAGTACCATGTCCGTATGCATATATCTTTATGGAATGATGCGTGTAGGTCATTGTAAAATTTCACTGTAAATTCAATCCTCTTCCTCACTTCATTTTGCTCTGTTTGATTTTTTCTCTCTTGTTTCTGCTGCAGGTCCTGATCTTGGCCTTGCATAATACTCCCTTCAACGGTGAGACTTACTTCTGCTGATATTTCCTATAGCTTGTTATCTTCTTTGAGCTTTTCTCATGGGGCTTTCTGTTTTTCTAACTATGGTTCTATTCTACTTGATTATGCGAATCTATACTATAAATAATTTTAGAAGCGATCATCAAATGTTATGGTTTTTTGGGACTAATGTTGGGAATGGATCCTCCCATTAAAGGGGGTCAATGAGAAAGGGTGAATTTTTGATCTTGGACTTTGTGAATGGTATAAATTTGTCCTGCTGCCACTAACCTATAAAGGCAAACAATGATCCACTTTGGTGACACACAGGTAGGAACGGTCCACTTCTTTATGGGAGGCCGGAATTATTCCATTTTGCATAGTCTAGGCAATATTTTTTGCCCTTTACCTGAAAAGAATCCAGGGACCTGAAATTAGCTTCTTCAAATGTTCTTCAGCTTCAGGATTTAGAAGGGTTTATGACAAGCAAAAAATCGTCAATTTCAATGGTATGATTCGGAAGTGATTTTACCCCAAGAAAACAAAGTCGACGAAACCTAGAGTGTTTTAAAACCTTGCCAACCGAGGTTTGTTGAGCACGGGACCAACACATTCCGACCAAAAATATTGAGATGATGGTGGAACTCGAAAAATAGTATGATTTGGAAGCAATACGCGCCTCCAACAAAGAAATTGCCATAAGTAATATGTTGGCATGTGAGATTCATAAGCTTTCTTGTCAGCCGCCATATTCTGAGGTTCTATAGATCGGGATGAGACGATCCCCCCTAGGACGACTGTGAGATTCAAATCCCAAGCCATAGGTATACCTCCCTTATATTAAATCTTACTTACAACCAATTTTTTGAGCCAAAGTAATTCGACTTCGATACCATGTAACGATATGTCACCTGGGCCTAACTCAGCCCTAAAAGCTAGTTCATGCGGGGAGGATTGCCCAAATCTATATAAGTAGACTGACTGTCCATTCCCCAATCAATGTGAGACTTTAACCCACACTAACACCCCCTTCACGCCCATGCCCCCCTTCACGCCCAGGCCCAAGTGAAGCGTTAAATCGAGAGCCCAAATGGGGATAAACTCAACTCTGATACCATGTAAAATAAAGATATAATGGAGAAAATCTCCTTATCATATAATTCCAAGAGTGAGTTATATGTAGGTGTACAAGTAAATATATCTAAGAAATAAAATTATATAATCCCTAAATATCTCTACCTATGATTGTGCTATGTATATTATACTAAGATGTGTCTATATACATTATGTACCAATATTTAAAACATTAAATAAAAGGGATTATACGAGTTGTATAAATTAACATAGAAGGAAGATGATATCATCTCATTTTTGCACTTTTCCTAGTCTTTCCCTTCTCACAATCGCACCGGCTCTTCTTCATCAACCTTATAAGATTAGCTTTCATTCTCTTTCTAAATACTCCTCTTCTTTTCTGTTGTTTTGAATTTGTACTATTAGTGATGTAGGATTATACTCTTAAATTAGGGTTTTGCAGGTTGAAGTTGTACAATATATTCGGAATCTCTGAAAAATGTTGCCACAGTCATGTCAGATCCTCCAAAAAGGCATTATTACTTTTGGAGGATCTGAAACGTACCCTGCAATATTTTTGAATAGTCCGACCAACATAGATGTAGTTATGCATTAATGGTAATGAGTTAGCTCTTAATTAAATTGGATCCACCCCCGTTTGACCATCCTTAGCTAAGCTGCATAATTGTTGTATATGCTAAGCTGAGATGTAGATGCTAAGCTGACATCCGTAAATTACCTGCATAATTGTTGTATATGCTAAGCTGAGATGTAGAGGAAAGCATAAGATTGGCTAATGAAAAGTCTAGACAAGCAAATGGCCAGTGTCTTGTATGAATTTCCATCTGTTCGCTTTTCTAGGGAAATTGACATTAACAGAGGGAGTGCCATCCCTAAAACCGGCCTCTGCGCCTTCTGAGATTGATTCGAGTATTCTGAGATGAACCGGTACATGGCATTTACCCTTATGTCTATGTCTGCAAAATGGTTGCATATGCTAATTTGTTGAGGTGTAGAACAAAAACAAAACAATTGATGGGCTAATGAAAATACTAGAAAACCAGATGACTAATTTACTATGAATTCCCATATTTTTACTTTCCTATGGAAATCAACATAAATAGCATACATGTGTGTGTTAATTGATGAGAATGATCCCACATTGGACCGGGACGAGATCCTGCTTGAGCAACCTTCCTCCATATGAGCTAGCTTTTGGGTGTGAGTCCTAATTTGACAGGATTGGAGAAGTTGGATCACATGGTAACATTGCTGTTTGATTTCTTGTTGCACTTTTGTTCTATAAATGCATGTTTTCTAATATGTCCTCTTTCAATATGAATGTAAGTTGTCTCATTCTGTTTATTATTCTAAACGAGAGATATGCTTATATTTCCAGTAAAAGATTGGGGAGCAACGGACCACCAGTATGGATTGTTATTGTCCTTTACCAAAAGATCTTGTGGTTGATATTTTATTGATGTTGCCAGTGGAACCACTCTTGCGTTTCAAATGTGTGTGCAAGCCATGATATGCTCTCATCAAAAGTGAGAGTTTCATAGAGAAGCATTTTCATCACAAGAACAATCGTTCCCGTCTCCTCATTTGCAACTTGAAATTTGAAGAGGAAGAACACACCCTCTTTCAGTCTGCTGTAGTCTCCTTGCTCCCTGAAAAAATAGTTCCGGGTGTGACCCCTGAAAAAAAAATTCTCCTTCATCTTCCAAGGGTCGATTATTTCAACATTCTTGCTGGCCCAGTTAATGGCTTATTCTTAGTGCAGGAAATTTTTTGTGGATATGGTGACCGCTTGAGTTTGTGGAATCCTGCCACCAGAGAGTTCCGGCCTCTGCCTCCTGCGCCTTTTGTGACTGAGCACTTCTTATGTAACTATGATCATGAATTCGGATTGGGGTTTGACCAGTTGACTCAGGATTATAAGGTTGTTTGGATTCGAGTATTCTTTGATAATCGGGGACAGGGACAGGGACAGGGACAGGGACAGGGCTCTTACCTTCATAATTCTGTCTCTGTCTATTCCTCATGCGATAACTCAAGGAAGAACCTACAATTCCCTTCCAGTTTTACCTTAGGTTTGCCCTATTCCGTCACATATCTCAACGGGATTTATTATTGGATTTGTAGGAGCCGCAATAATAATATATGCAAGATTCAGTCATTTGCCATGGGGAGCGAACAGTTTGGGGAGATGCAAGGCCCAAATATTCCAGGTAAACACTGGGTGAGGCTTACATCGTGTGGCGACTCGCTTGCAATGTTAGTCAGTGATAAGTCTATGACATCCATATATGAAATGAAACAAGAGGGAAGTTGGTCCAAAGTGTTTACTGTTCAACCTTGTATAGAAGCTGCTCATTTGCCTAAAGGTATTTGGGAGAATGATAAGATTGTTTTTGACCTCACAGAAACTTCACAGCTGGTGCTATATGACCCTACCACAAGTCAAGTTACGGATCTTGGAATTCAGCTGAAGCTTATTGGCTGTTGTGTTTTCAATTATAAGGAGAGCCTAGCCCTAATTACGAAAGGAAATGAGTCTCAAGACCAGGATAATACTGATCGAGCAAATGAAGTAGTACAACTATTAGGTGGACGAATGATGTCAAGAATTGAAAACCAATTTCCCCCCTCTGATCTTTCATTTTCTGAGTAATAGTGCTGATATATTAGCTGGATGAACCTATTACTATTGGGTTATTGGCTTCTACTCATTCATCATGTCCTATTTATACTTTGGTCATTGATAAGAACATAAAGTTTATTTGTTTCATACATTTGACTACTTGCTGAATTATTGGCCAAATGTGTAATTTACTTTTTTTTGCTAAGTTTGATAACATGGTAAAACTGCTGCTTGATTTCTTTCTTACGCTTGATAGCATGGTAAAACTGCTGAATTATGTGAATTTTTTCATATTTTTTTATTATTATTGTCTTTCCCACAACTTTTTGTCACTGTTAACTCATGAAAATCATAAGAAAAAATACGAGTGTAAATTTATGAATGATTTGCTACAATTTGTTCAACAACTCTTTGTTATATGGTACCTCGAATTTCGTTGAATTTTGAACTTAATCAATTGTTGCAAATAACCCTTAGATTTTTTAAGAAGAAGAAGAGTAGAAAACTTTCAAAAATTGTAGATTACAAGTGATAGAAACCCTCTATTTATAGCTAACAAATAGTAGTATGAATATATGCTAATTGTTCCTTATCATAAAAGTTACAACCTTTCAAAAAAGTCAGTGCTCATCGAAAAAATCACAACCTTTTGCAAAAGTCACAACTCTTCGGAAAAGGCACAACCCTTCGGAAAAGTCACAGCCCTTTGAAAAATTACAACCCTCCGGAAAAGTCACAACTATTCATACTTCAAATTTAGTATGTGCATGACACTAATAAGGATTACCATAAATATTTTAATATTTTCTCTTTCTACGTAATCTATCTTTTACCAATTAATATTTGAGTAAGACTATCATAGAGAGGTAATTCTACAATAAAAAGGTACTTTATTGTTACAACGAATGATGATTAAATTGAGGTTTGAGTGTATGTCAAATATTTAGCTTGACCAATTCTTTGTTTTAGATATACATATATATTTCAGTAGCATAATTTAATTTTAATATATGAACAACATCACATTTGGTGAAAAATGTTTCATTTCTTTAAATTTCTACCTTATCTTTGTAGAATTATAGTCTTCTCCTTTTTCCTCCCCATACATATCATATAGTTATTGTCTAATGAAAGTATCTAGTATCTTATAGAAGTTGTATCGTGATATAGAATATTAAACTTTTTCAATTAATAAAAATTAATAGATGAATAAAATTTAAAGTATTGTTTATAGAATCTTTAATTTGATTTAAGATTATTTATGATCAATCACTATTTTCTTATCTATTTTTATTAGGGAAACTTACATAAATATACAACATTAAAAAAATATTTAGCATTTATAGCAATAACATTTTTTTCTCATTTGATCACTTTTAGGGGGTCACCGATTGGTTCGGCCTTAAATTCATGAGATGGAAATCAACACGTTAGTAGTTAGGGTTTTTAGTAGCAATCTCCATATCCCATAAATATGTGCCCACATAGGTTTTTAATACATATTACAAAGAACAATTTATTATTCACATATAATACAAGTTTTATTGATGGATAATACATTTATAACATATTTTAATACACTTATAATACAATGTGTATAAGTATAATATATTTTAAAAAACAATTATAATACATATATATGGCATACATAATTCACTTTTAATACATATTGCAGATTTAACATAGTATTGCTAAAAATGGTAATAAATAAAAAGTATCGCTAAAATTAATAATTATTTATTAAAAGGTACTCATCCAAGTAATTTAACATTTTTATATAGCGAACATGGAGTGTATCTTGTGACATAAAATTTTCTCAAATTAAAATGATCACAAAATAATAGGAAAAAAATATATGAAACGATACAAAGCCAATGAAGAAGGAAGATGAAAATATATGTTCATGCTATATTCACTATAGAGTTCCATTTGATTAAAATCTCTTGTCACCAACACTTTACTTTCTTCGTTAATTTTTACTTACATATCTATTAAAAAATAATTATTATCATGTCTATATTATCATATTATAAATAAAAGTAAAATCTATTTTTAAAATAGTGGATTTAACATCAAAACTAATGATTCAATGGACTACGCTGATGCCCGATGTTTTAGCAAAATCAGAAATAAACTGCTTCATTTGAGGGTAAAAAAATAAAAAAGAAATATCTTACCCAACTCATGTGACTTTATTCATATTTGTTTATTATTATTGTCTTCCCCACAACATTTCGTCATTGTTAACTCACGGAAATCGTAATGAAAATACGAGTGACTTTATGAATAATTTGCTACAATTTGTTCACCAACACTTTCTTATGTGGTACCTCGAATTTTGTTGAATTTTGAACGTAATCAACTATTGCAAATAACCCTCAGATTTTTTAAGAAAAAGAAGAGTAGAAAACATTTTTAAAATTGTAGTTTAAAAGTGAGAGGAAACCCTCTATTTATAGCTGACAAATAGTTGTATTAATAGGTGCTACTTGTTCCTTATCAGAAAAGTTACAACCTTTCGAAAAAGTCACTGCTCGTCAGAAATATCACAACCTTTTGCAAAAGGCACAACTCATCGGAAAAGGCATAATCCTTCGAAAAAGTCACAACTCATCAAAAATGTCAAAACCCATCAGAAAAAATCGCAACCCTTTGGAAAAGTCACATCTCTTTGAGAAAATCACAACCTTTAATATGAAAGGGTATCTACATTTAATGTAATACAAATAATTAAATTAATAAATAGAATAAATTGAGTATTTTTAATTGTAGTATTATAGTAATTCAACATTCAGTTTAGGATTTTATGCTTTTAAGGTTATATATATATATATATATAAAGAGAACTCTAGGCTCGTCTACGTGGCGCCACCACAAACAAGGATTCCCTTTTAGTTTATTTATTTCCAAAACTAGTCTTCCCCTTTCATGAAAAGTTGTGACTTTTATGAAAGGTTGTGAGCTTTTCGAAGGGTTGTGACTTTTCCAAATAGTCGTGACATTTCCGATAAGGCACATAAGCATTTGTTCACACTACCATTTTTTTTCTATAAATAGAGGAATTTCCTCTCATTTTAAAACAACGAAAATTCTAAACTTATTCTTCTTCTACAAAATTAAATATTCGTGTACTTTGCTCCTGTTGAGTGGCTTACTCACACCATTGTTTTTGTATCAATACGTTAATGAATAAAATCTTTCCATTATGAGAGGATCTAATTCTTTAAACCTCAGGTATTGGAGGGGAATAGTTTTCTTTAGGATACAATGTGCTTTCAGTAGACTCGATTTTTTCCTTTCTATTTCATTCTATTTTTTAACATCTCATAAATTAAAAGAACTAGAAAGAGCTAGAATTAGAAAGAGTGATTTTTGGAAATAATAAAAATCTGGAAAATTGGTTAAGTTAAGTTTGAGTTTTTGGTCAACTTCAAATGACCATAACTCGTAGCTCAGGATGAGCTAGGTGTGTTTCCAGATATCGTAGGAAATATCTTGGAATAATATTTCCAACACCACCGAGTTTACGCTATTCCGAGTTCGTATGAGTGAGTTATACCCATTGAAAGTTGGCCTGTTCAAATAAGAAAATGTCCAATCTGGATTTTAGAGGGGCATTATGGTGTTTTCTTTACCCAATTATTTTATTTCATTTTTGGGTAATTAATGGGGGTCTAAACTGATCTTAGTCATTTACGCTTTTGGAAAAAGAGTAAGGGTTTTGAGAAAAGATAAAAGAAGAGGAGAAAGGAGGAAAGGAAGCAAGAATCGTCAAGATCTTCACAAATCGCTTGTGGATTTCGTCAAGGGGTGATCCCTACGAGGTATGTGAGTTCACACAGCGTTGGGTTCGTTCACCCACGTGCCAAACATGTTTTATTCAATGTAATTTCATCTTAAAGAGATTGAGAATTTGATGTCCTTGAGTTGTATTCTTGAATTGCTTTCGTTCTTGAATTTGGGATGAGATTGAGGAGTTCTTGAGAGTTTAAGATTGATTATTAGAGTTTCTTTGAGTTAGATTCTTGTGTATATGTTGTGGGTACCTGAATCTAAGGAGATATAGAGAAAATGAATTGAAATTAGGCGAATTGGGGCTGGAAAACAAAGAAGGAACAAGTCGGCCAAATCTGGGTACCAAGTCGCGGACATGTTCCTCAGATTTGGAAAATCCTCCCTCGCGTCGCAGAGCGGTCACGGACCATTTTGCCTCAAAAATTATTTTCGCAACCAAAATTTAAATACATCTCCGCGTCGCGGACTAGCTTTTAGGCAGTGATTTCTTGATCTTTTCTCATGTTTAGCTATCTAAAATCATTTCTAAACATCATGAGATCTTTCCTATCACAAATCACAATCCTTGAATCCATAATTCAATTCGAGGAGAAGTTAAGAGTCAAGTCAAGAGAAGTTTATAGAGTCTTCCAAGAGTCTTTTTACAAATGTTTTAACTTTGTTTTAAGACTTGAGTTTTGAGTTGAGTAAAGAGTAAAGTTTGAAGTTCATTTCTTCAAAAGAGTATGTCGGGACAATGTATTCCCAAAGAGTAAAATGTTTCACATTTAAACAAGAAAGGAAACCTTGATTTCAGTAAAGAGCCTTTGAGCTAGTTTTTCAGTAAAGAGCCTTTGAGCTAGTTTTTTAGTAAAGAACCTTTGAGCTAGTTTTTCTGTAAAGAGCCTTTGAGCTAGTTTTTCAGTTAAAGAGTAAATGCTTTCACAATTAAGCAAGAGAGGAAACTGAGATTTCCAAGATAGCCTTTGAGCTAAGTTTTGAGCAATTATCTCAAACTAGAGAAATAAGTATTTTTTTTAAAACATAAAGAGCTAGTATATTTTAGGAGTAGTATTGAGCACCGATATGGGAGAGAGTTCAAAAAACTCCGAGCCACCATAAACTATGTAGCCACCATGGGTAGAAAAGGGTCATACTTTTTAGATGATTCCTTAGTGCCTTTTAGCATAGACTAGTGGATCCACTTAGTAGTTCAGGTTCTATACTCATGGCAAGGTATAGGACGGCCGTGGCAG